CATCCCTGAGGACAGGCCATAGCCTTTTAAACATCTGTCATAAATGGCTGGTCATAAATCAAGGACTGCCTGTACCTGGTTAAGTGACAAAGGAGTATTTTGATTGATTTTTGTGAAGAAGGAAATGGGTTGGGAGCTGATCTACATTCAGCTCATCTTATGGTGTAGATACTTCTGAAGAATGGACTTGACTTGGAAGGAATGCTGTTATGAACGTATTTTATCAGAATCGCCCCCTTGTAAAGATCACTGTGTGTTGTGAGCTTTCCTGCATTCACCAAACAATTCATAGATAAGGCAGCTTCCTGTGTTCCTAGCTTGGTCAAAAGGAATATATTTGTGCAAAGAAGCACGTACATTTTCAAGTTGCACAGAGTGGGGAAAAGGTTCATTCTAGGCAAATGAATTTGAACTAGGTTGACTTATAATCCTGAACAGATTGGCAATGAGGGTGATTGGTCTGGTTCCTGTACAGTTTAATAAATTCACAGGTCTAGAAAGAGTTCTTTAGCCTATGGAGTGTGACTCCTGCTCAATGCACACTGAGGGCAGTACAAATCCAACTTAAAGTATCCTAGACAAATGCTTATCTTTCCCTATCCAAGATAGGACAGCCCATCACCTCTGGGTAATTAGATCCCGTTGAATATACTCTTGAAGAGGATTCCTCCTAACTTTCAATTAACATGTGTAATCTGAATCCATTACTCTGTGTTCTGCCATTCTGGAATGATAGAGAACAGGGCTTCTACTTCTGTGTAACATCCTCTTTGATAATTAGCTGAGAAATATGTGCAGGAAAGTAGGCACATTTTTGATACTATGATTTATCTGATTTTGCTTATAATTTGTTTTACTGAACCAGGACAATACCAATTGCATTTTTCAAAAAGCAACACTATTGTATGCTAGAGCAAACAGTGAGTTTTCAGGTGCAAGAGCACCAACCTAAGATACAGAACTCATTATGAATAATGGGCTACTAAGGAGTAAAGTTTCTGCTCAAGAAAGAATATTCCAGAGCAGCGACTGAATTTTGCATAAGGCTCAGTTTAAGAGCTTAGAGTAGACCAAACTAGGGCTTCCAATTGTTGAAGGAAAAGTCTTCATCATGGTTCAGTCCAAGCCGGGAATAAACATGGTGACTGCTTTAGAAAGAAGGTTGCAGTTTATTGAAGAGGAGAGCCAGACAGAAAGATGGCTCTGGAAGAAAAGAGCGAGAGCACATGTAGGGAGTGGGATTTTATATCCTCTGGGGCTCTTGAGGTTGTTTCCTGTTCCTGTTTGACGCTTTGTATTTCCTGTGTCATGTATTTTGACCTGAGTCTGAGTGTGCCCCTTTGGCATCTGTGGGCTAATCCTATTATGTCCTGTCTTAGAATTTGGGTGGGGTATGTAGATTTTAGGTGTCTTTGTCTTCCTAAGCTTCTAGCTGGGGGCCTCCAACCTTCCTGAATGGTTTACATCTGCATTTCTACAGAGCTGGTTTCTGATTGGGGGAGGGAGACATGGGGCTATTAAGAAAAAACTGGGCATGCTTTTTTGCCTCTTTAAGATCCTTTGAGGAAATATATTTTTCTGCCCTTTTAATATTTCCTTCTCTGGGGGGCTGACTTCCCACACAGTTCTGACCTGAAAAAAAATCTAAATAACCACTAGGCAGAAGTAAATAGCAATATATCTGGAGAATTCTGGGTGTTGGAAGTCCATACATCTTCAAGTTGACAAGAGAAATGGAAGTTTGCAATTTTGGAAAAGTGAGTGTGTGTATATGTATATTATGTGCACAAATGTTCATATACATTTATGAGCATTTAAATGTGGTATATAGATGCAGATGTACCTTTATATATTAATAATAATAATAATAATAATAATAATAATAATAATAATAATAGTAAAGTTGGAAGGGACCTTGAAGGTCATCTAGTCCAACCCCCTGCTCAGGCAGGAAACCCTATACCATTTCGGACAAATGGCTGTCCAGTCTCTTCTTAAAAACTTCCAGTGTTGGAGCACTCACCGCTTCTGGAGGCAGGTTGTTCCACTGGTTAATTGTTCTCACTGTCAGGAAGTTTCTCCTTAGTTCTAGATTGCTTCTCTCCTTGATTAGTTTCCACCCGCTGCTTCTTGTCCTGCCTCTAGGCACTTTGGAAAATAGCTTGACTCCCTCTTCTTTATGGCAGCCCCTGACATATTGGAACACTGCTATCATGTCCCCCCTCGTCCTTCTCTTCATTAAACTAGACATATCCAATTCCAGCAGCCTTTCCTTATATGCTTTAGCCTCCAGTCCCCTAATCATCTTTGTTGCTCTTCTCTGTACTCTTTCTAAAGTCTCAACATCTTTTTTACATCGCAGTGACCAAAACTGGATGCAGTATTCCACGTGTGGCCTTACCAAGGCATTGTAAAGTGGTATTAACACTTCACGTGATCTTGATTCTATCCCTCTGTTAATGCAGCCTAGTACTGTGTTGGCCTTTTTGGCAGCTGCAGCGCACTGCTGGCTCATATTTAGGTGATTGTCCACTAGGACTCCAAGGTCCCTCTCACAGTTACTATTATTGAGCAAGTATATTTGTAATGATTAAAATTAAAATTAAGTATATTTGTAATGATTCTGTTGCTATTTATTTCATTGATAGCTCTGGATTTCTTGTCTTTTTTCTTGCATGGTGTATCACAACTGGGAGGGATTACAGTACAAGAATTTAAGTCTCAAATCAAAGTTGGAAAAAGATATTCATTCCACAACTTTCCTGCCCTGTGATCTGTTCTAATGCAAGGCAAGCAAATGTGATTCAGCATAGTGTGATGGATCATTTGACACTCAAGAGCGAATTTTTACTTTCCTATTTTCTCATTTTCAAGAAACATTTTTAGATAATGCTGGGTAAAGGATGTTCTAATGCTTTGAGTGTTTTTCTTCATTTATGTTATTGTAAACATCCCTAAGTTATAAAGAGGTTGGGCAACCCTTTGATAAAGTATCCCCTTCTCCACCTGTGGGACTTCTTTTTGGACTTGAAATCTCAGGCAGTTGTATGACTGCACTTTATATGGCTCACAAGCATGACTGGGCTCTGGTTACTGGGACACATCTAAGGGCTCTAGGTTAAAGAAGACTACTACCGGTATAAACTGAAATGATGCAAGTATGTCTCTTATGGTATATTTCTTGTAGTGGCTAAGATAATCCATTTATTAAAGGTTTTACACATTTTCATTCTACAATTTTAACAGAACACTGAAGAAGTTTGGGTTTTTCCAGTTACCAAATGCCAATTACTGTGTTTGCCAGCTTTAATGTTGTTTCTAATAGTGTGGCATTGCCCTCTAGTGGCTTGAATATATATGCACATTGTTCCTAGTCCCAAATAATAGTTTTTAAATAATTTGCTTTTAAAAAGAACATAGCGCTTAACTTTGTCAATAAGGCGTAGCAACTCTATCATCTTGTTTTCAATTTCTGTTTTCATATAGCAAATGTAACATATTAGTACCCTACTCAAATTTGATAATCCTCAGCATTAAAATCCATGAAGGGTGTAGTTAAAAACAGGCAAATCTTTGCAATCTAAATCATGTTTGTTGATCCAAGTGACTGAGCCTAGAGAATGCATATCATAGAAGGGATGGATTTAAAGAATGGATAACATGCAACAGTTGCTTCACATTCATTTCCTGATAATAGAAAGTACAAACAGTACAAATATTAATCACAATAATATTCTCTGCATATTTTCATAGTTTTCATTCAGTTGGATAAGAAAGACAAATGGAACTTGCTTTCAAACTTTCTTTTAAAGTAGAAGAGCATTTCCATGAAGATGTTAGTGAGTGGAATATGAGGTTTTTCATTCCATACTATGAGATAGTGAAGAAGTACATGAGAATAGTCTGTGTTTCACTGCACTTTCATCATACACTCTTTGGCTTCCCACACTTCTGATGAATCTCATGGGAAGATATCAATAGGAAAACCCTCCTGAACTGAAATTTTACAATAGCAACTCTCCTGCCACTAAGAGACATTGCCGCCCTTGAGTTAACAGTTGGTTGCTTCCTCTTGGACAAATATAGAGAAATCATTCACTCAACTTCTGGAGAATTGCAAAAAGCCATGCATGTACCGGTAATAACTTCCAAGATATTCCCAGTGTCTGAAAAGAGAAAAATCTATTTTTATCTAACAGAATGGAGCCAGAAAAATGGGGGGGGGGGGATTTCTCCAAAACAGCTGAAATGTAGCACTGCCAGAGAGCAGGGCTATCCAGTGATGGGTGGAAACATCAAATTTCTTTAGGCTAAGGCATTATTTTATAAATACTGTAATCAAATAATTGCAAAAGGTATTTTAAAGCAGATATAGGGATGTATGAACCTTAATTAGCTGCTAATTAATGAAATGAGGTTTTTTTGGTCAGAATATACTACAGTATTTTTAGTACATCTGTCTGATGCTTAAAAAACACTTGTGAAAGAAAACATTCAACCCATTTCAAAGTGCTTCTCAAACTGACCTGCAGGAAACTTGTTTTAAGAAGAAAACTAAAAAAGGCATAGCAAGGCAGAAATCATTAACAATATATCACATATGTTATCAAATGAGATATAATTTTCTTTTGATATGTCCAAAGTCATTTAATAAGGTAGATTTGAGTCTTAAAGATTATTTTATTTTGCCCACAAGAAAGGAGTAGTAAGTGAAATACAATCAGATATACACACGAGGTACCAAATATCAGATCCACATAGTTATTATAATCAGTGGTTAATGCATCCAATAACGTTCATTTCATCCAGTTGGTCCATTATTGGGTGTCAGGAGAATGAGTGAAAGGCTATGACAGTATAGACGCTACCCAAACCATGCTGTGCACATTGTACTTCTGTGCAAAATTGTAGACCTGTTTTTTTTTGGGAATTCAGTGTTAGAGACGAAGAATTTTGTAAACACACACGGTAGCAAGTATATCCATTTGAATACTAAGATGAATAAAGAATCAGACTTTTAATGTTTCTGATGCATTAAAATTATATTAATTCAGTCTTAAAACGATATGCAAAATAGGTTAGTATTATTAATTTCCAGTAAACATTTTCAATGTCACCTTGCTACTACTAAAAACAGCAGCTCTGACCTCCTCTGCTGAGACTTATGCCCTATCTCTCCTCTTTATGGACTTTACTACAAAGCAGGGAACTCTGTAACAGAAAGACACAGACTTTCTACTACTAGTTTGTGGAAATAATGCACAGTTGGTGGGAAACACTCAAAGTTCATACTGACTGTTGAGTAGAAGAAATAGACAAACAGACAGACGGAACCCACCATCCTGGAAGGAGGCATAGATAACATCAATCAAGAATCACTGATTCAACTGGATATTGCTAATGGCCAATTATTAGCAGGATGGTTTGTCAAATTGTATGTTTTATACGGCCTTAAGGATTTTGTATAAGTAATATGCAGTGGAATTGAACATGGGACTCCTTGTCACCAGATACTGCTCTTCTCTTAAGCTTTTGCATTTAGTTAGCCAAATAATTAGCTAAGGAAAAATAACTGCTTCTCCACTGACGCTGAAACAGAACACTTTGCTGGTCAAAACAATTTCAACACATAAACTACATGCATATCAATATTACTAACTAACCAATGGTAAGAGTATGATAAAATAGAAAGCAATTATCCTCAAAGATATGAAGCCATTTTAGGTCCATTATATTTTTCAGTTTTTAGATACCTTCCTGGTTCTTTGTAGTAGTCACGGGATTGCCAAGTTATTGTTAAAACTCATCCTTAATAGTGAAATGTGGCTGATCTTCAGGTTTAAAGTTTGGGTTAGGGCTGCCATCTTCATTGAGAATTCTTCGGGCAGTGTAGCCAACAATAGGATATTTGGCCTTGTAAACATTACTAAAGGTCTCATCCAGAGATTGCAACTGCTCTTCTGTGAGTCCCGTCTCAATGAATTGCAATTGTGTAAAGAAAAAAAGATGGAGAGAAAAGGGGTGGGTAGACAGAACAAATACAATGATTATTGCATACCTCCATGCTATGTAATGTGAATGCAAAGGACTACTAACTGCACCAAACAAGGTTTTTCAGAGTTCTGTACCTTTTCTATTTTTAAATCCCTCCCACATCCCACTGTCTTTAATGATCCTGTACATGGATTAGATCACTAGGACCAATAAAGCCGTGTGCAAATAAAACCATTTCTTAGTTGTGGCTTCAGATCAAGCTATGCTGAAAAGATCTTTTTCTTACTGTATCATAAGTGAGATCCGCTGGATCAAGGGACATTTTTGCAACACTTCGGGTTGAATCTTTGCCAGCTAGTACATTGTATGGTGCTCCTTTTCCATAAAATTCTGTTGGGGAAAAATAACACAAATAGCAGTTAAGTGCAGGACTTAAGATTTTTAGGATCTCTCTCTCTCTCTCTCTCTCACACACACACGTGTGTGTGTGTGTGTGTGTGTGTGTGTGTAGTCTGAGATATTTAAAGATTACACCTCTTTTAAGAACTATCGTAAATTACATCCCAGAGACTTCATTGTTCACAAGCCTAGAATTAAGTGTCGATATATTCTGAGATTTCTAGAAATTGGTTTGTTTTATCCTGGCTTTGCATGATACCAGGCCCTAAAAAGTTCAAAAACTAGTAAGCATGAAATGATGTCTTATCTTCAACTCTGTAACAAGAGAAGAAGGTCCATCTTTCAGCTTGTCTTGAACCAACTTTAATACAATAATATAAAATCCTAAACTGCTGAAATCCTCAACATTATAAAGCCTTAACAACAACGCACAGAAAGAGCTGGCATACAGTGGCATACAATGAATAATATAAGAGGTTGATTAGGGGGTGAAATGGTGACCAGAAAGGGAAAGGGAAATAAAAGATGAGAAATGGAAGTGAAGTACACAATTTCTCCAACCAGGAGCAACCCAAGCTTGACTGCATTCTGTGAGCTGTTATCCAAAATACTTGGAAAATATCAAATTGAACAAGGCAACCATACATTTGGATGATCCTAAAACTGGGAAAAAGAAAATGCCCACTGGAAACTACATTCACAGAATGTAAGGACTTACTTCTAATAGTAAGAAAGATAGAACCCTCACTCTGTGTCAAATTTCTGTATTACTTGGTCTTACGTCATACATGGTGGAACTGCATCCTCTCTTACTATCTCCCAAAGTTCTTCTCAAAAATACTATTTGGCCAAAACTTTACCCTATGTCAGTGATGGCGAACCTTTTAAAGACCGAGTGCCCAAACTGCAACCCAAAACCCACTTATTTATTGCTGGGTGCCAGGTGGGTGTGGCCCACTGGGTGTGGTCATGGCAGATTGGGTGGGCGTGGCCCACTGGGTGGGCATGGCCAGCTCGATGTTGCTCGTGGGGAGGGACACCTGTGGGGGCCGGGCAGGGTTGGGGGAGATCCAGGGGGTCTCTGGCAGGTGGGGTGGTGGGCAGGAGGCTCGGGGCAGTGGGCAGGGGTGCCATTGTCACAGGGCAAGGCGAGTCAGGAGCCGGGGTGGCTGCTGCCTGACACCATCAGCTGCTGCACACAGAGGCCAGCAAGCACATGGGTGCTGGGATGCATCCGGCCATGTGGGACCTCGGCCAGTTAGCGGGCGGCTGGTTGAAGAGGGACAGTTGCCATCTCCGGGGCATGGCACGCGTGCCCACAGAGAGGGCTCTGAGTGCCGCCTCTGGCACGCGTGCCATAGGTTCGCCACCACTGCCCTATGCCATGAGTGGTAAAATCGAATAACTGGATTCCCAAACTTTCCTTACATAACTGCCCATTCTCAGCTATTTGTATACATATGTGTTTATTCGTCAAACAAAAATTACTAATTAGAACAAGCAATGAAAAAAATAATAAAATGTGCCAGGGATGATAGGCATGTTAGTGCTCTTACACATGCTCCCTTGGGGATCTCTTAAATGTGGGTTGAAGTTCACAGAAGTTAAGTTGGAATTAAAACTATGGAAGTTAGTGGCTGAGTCAATTGAACCAGATACAATATTCCAGACTTGGACAACGCTGTTACAAAAACTGATTTTTTTACAATCAAATTTAAAGCAGTTTACATTAAGTTTAAAGCAGTTGTTCGCAAGCATTACATTACGATTAAAGCTAAAAAGTCATTTGCAGTTACTATGTACAATTTTGTATGCAATATCTAGGTCTGACCACAAGCGTCGCAGTTCTAACCTATCCAAACCAAGAATTTCTAGTCTAGTAGCAAAAGGTATTCTATGATGGCAAAAAGAGTGCATTTGCCATATACTTTTGCATACATGCGATTTATGTCCCCTTTTAATAACCCTATGGCAACTACTGACAAAGGTGTATGAATACTATATTGATATTGGGGATTATTCATCCTTATTGCTTTATGGATTTATTGCATATGTGAAGGGATGTGCATTAAAACTATAAGTTATCAGATGGGATTTTGAGATAAACTATTCAGTACTGAGATAAACAATCAGATTTGGATTGGGTTACTGAATCTTTTGAAGCAGCGATATTTTTTCAAACTGTTCACATTCCTCTCAGGACCCTCGTTTGAAACTGAACTCTTTAATGAGTAAAGGCAAAACAGCAGAAATGATTGAGGTTTTGAAATCCAGAGGAAAGCAAGTAAAAACTTGCTCCCCTTGGTTTTAAGCAATGGCAAAATGAATATTCCTGGGGCAGCAGCACTGGGCTGCTAACCAGAGAAGACCTAGATCAGTGGTGGCGAACCTATAGCACGGGTGCCAGAGGCAGCACTCAGAGCCCTCTCTGTGGGCACGCGTGCCGTCGCCCCAGTCCTAGGCCTTCAGCTGGGTTTTATAAAACCTTTTCGCTTTAGGCCTCCGCCACCGTGTACAAAAAAAAAGGTTCAATCAGTCAGTCAATTTCAACTTCTTGCGGGAAAAAAAAATCTTGCAAAGCTGGAATTGATTGATTGAACTTTTTAGTCCCACCCAGTTTGTCGTTACCACCGCAGCCACGCCCACCCGATGGGCCACACCACCCGGCACCCAATGATGCATAAGTGGGTTTTCGGTTGCAGTTTGGGCACTCGGTCTCTAAAAGGTTTGCCATCACTGATCTAGATTATTCTTCAGATGAAATTAGCACAGAAGGCTGCTGAATGGATAAAGTTTGCCATTATAGACAAGGGCTGTCTTTCTTCGAAACAGATAAGAGCAATCTGTGGCCTTCTTAGCTAATGCTGGACTGCAAGTCCCAGGATTGCTCACTATCAATCATGTTGGTTGAAGCTGATAGAAACTGAAATTTAACAACAAATGGAAAGCTAATGTTATCCAGCTCTGGAATTAAGGATAATAAACATCTGAAAAATAATTTAAAAAAACTAGCAGCATTCATAAATGAGAGGAACGCCTTTTCAGCATATCCTTGGGCAGTTGCCCTTGCTCTTTAAAAGGGCCATCTGGTTGAGGTAACAACACTGAGATATACTGGTACTTCTTATTGTGAACCATACTGAAGGGGGGAAACATTCTGCTTGTAATGTGATCTTACCTTTTCCAGAAGTGACATCAAACACCACACCCTTCACAGCTATGTAAATAGGTTCATCCTCCTGAAAAGTATAATTTATATACTTTATCATGAAATGTACTGATATTCAAGAAATACCAACAGCATACTGTTTGACTGGTCATTCTTTCTTTCCAAGAAAGCCAAAAGTCGCTTACTGGAACTTAAAGTTTCTTATCTTTAAAGAGGAAAGCCTGTTCCCATTAACATGTCTAAAACAGACATGTCAAACTCGCAACGTTACGTGACATCGCACAACGTATTGAAACTTTTCCCCCATTGCTGGCAACGGGGTGGGCTCGGTTTCGTCGTGACACGTCCAGCTTGCGGGCCAGCAGTTTGACACCCCTGCTCTAAAAAGAAAGACTTGCAGCATAAACCTGAGCAGAGAAATCTCTGATTGGTGTAAATAAAAAGGAAAATCTGTAGCACTGAATGTACTAGATGTAGAGTGGTTGCTAATGGGTGAAGGATTTGTGGTTCTCCAGAGGTGGTAGATGAACTCTAGAACCCAAAACTCTTTACTCTGTCTTGGCCATGATAGCTGGTGTTGCTCAGTGTTATACTTTAAATGCAGCTGGAAGGCCCTGGTTTCACTGCTTTTGAAAATGTCCACATCTAATTCCTTTGTTAATGAATAAATATAATGGAAGTTATCATATCCTTTATGATATATAATGTGCAAATGAAAGTTCTGAATACAAAGGTATAATATTTGTACAAAACATCCCCCAATTTTTTAAATGAAGAGGAACAGCAAACAAAGTAGTCCTTACTGCATACTTATTTGAAATGGCTTTAATATTTACAATCATTCTTGGTTTTCTTTCTTTTGCCTTTAGGTGTTCCTATAAGCATAAGAAACCGTGTTTCCAGTTTTCCACAAGGCTATCTATGTTGCCAATTGCTTTTTTTATTACAGTGTTGCAGAAGTATAATCCAAAGCGCCTTGTCGCCTGCCATGAGCATCTTTCTAAAGACCCCAGAACCCAGAATTAGTAGGGCTTCTAATCATGGTCATTTTTAGGAGCAAAATTGCAGGTCCTAAAGGCACTCAATTTCCCTTTAAAATGCCAGGGCTCCCCAAAACAGACCTTAAAATGCATTTATTTTTGCATTGCAGTCCAACTCTACACAAACACGTGTGTGTGTGTGTGTGTGTGTGTGTGTGTGTGTGTGTGTGTGTGTAATTTATAGTGCTACAAAACTAAGGAAAAGATGCTACAACAAAGTTTTGGAGACAGTGTGAAACCTCACTGCTGTGTCTTAACGCGCAGCATCCCAATTTGGGCAGTCATGTTTTAATGCTGTACAAAATCTTCCTTACTCTTTTCTTGTGGATTATCAAGGCTGTTAACTACAAGGCAAAACAAAAATGCCGCCTAACAAACTTCGCCGAGTTCAAAGAGATTGCAGCTCCCCAACCCGCCCTCCGCAGAAGAACTTCAGTCCCTTCCGGCCGAAAGCTCCAAGGCGGGATCAAAACGCCCACGACTGCTCCAGTCCTGTTATTGCAACGGAGGCCAGAGGCGCAGCTTCTGCGACCGAGAAAAGATCTTTTCCCCCGGAGAAAGCGGCTCGAGCCGGCCTTCGCCGTCGAGAAGGCCCGTTCCGACAACCATTCGGGCGTCTTTCCGAAAGCTTTGCCTACCTTGTGTCCGTCGTACCTGGCCAGCTCGTCTTCCGTGAAGAGGCGCACCGGTCTCTGCGAGGGCGGGGCCTTGAAGCGGAGCTCCTGCTCGCATCGCGCCTCCCGAGAGCCCGCGAGGGTCAACGCTAGCAGGGCAAGCGCCAGGCGGCGGCCTTGGGCCATGGCGCTCAGGCGGCGGACGGCTTCCAAATCCAGCCGGGAGAGGAGGCTGGCGAGGGAAATGCCTTCTCGGGCCTCCTTGTCTATTCACCCACTTCGTTTATAGCCGGGGTAGGCAACCTTGGCTCTTTTATGACTCGTGGACTTCAACTCCCAGAATTCCTGAGCCAGCTATGCTGGCTCAGGAATTCTGGGAGTTGAAGTCCACGAGTCATAAAAGAGCCAAGGTTGCCTACCCCTGGTTTATACGTTGCCTCAGCCCGAAGGCTCCAGAAGAGTCCTTCCTGCCCCTTCCTTTTGCTTAGTTCGAACAAGCTATGGATGGCTCTCGGATGCGAGCGTCATTCAGCTATTGAAAACAAAACAAAAAAAGTTCACTGGAGGGAAGAGAGAAAAAATCCCTCTTACTTGATTCTTTGACCGATTAAAGCAATTTTGTACCTTGCAATGCTAATGTAAAGTCTAGTTGCAGATTTGGAATGAATGACTCCGGGCACTCAGATGGTGCTATTCGTCCCTAGTTCTGAATTCGAGATGGCCTATCTCGGAATAAGGCTGAAAGTTTAATTAAAAGGTACTACAAGTGAAAACAACGTTTAAAAATAACTATAAACATTTTTTTTATTCTTGGGTTTTGTTTTCCATGTTAGAAACGGGTTATAATATTGTTAAAATGAATAGTGGGACTTAAAGCTGAAAACCTCTGCCGACTAACACGCCTGATTTCAGAAATATATTTAAATGCCCATTTTTTCCTAACAATGCATCAGTGCTCCGGTGCCGATGGCTTGATTTACCCTTCACCAAGTACAATGTGCTGTGGTTTGTTTTCTTGGTTGTCTCTTATTAACTCTTCAAACACTGCAAACCAAGCCTAATCATGTGTTTGCTTAAATCCTGCTTTATCTATAAAACATCAGATTGACTGGTCTGGAAGCCATCCAACTGTACACTGTACATACACAGAAGATCTTTGTGCAACAAGTGGCTAAGTGATTAAAATGAGTCATTATTACTTGTACAGTAAGGTATATAATAATAAAGAGGCAATGTAAACCTTATTAAGGGATCAAAATGATTTCTCATAGGTGCAGTTTGATGAAATGACAGAATTTACTTCTTAACTTTATGGAAGATGGGAATTTTTTCTTTTCTTTTTTTATTTTGCTGAAATGGTAAAGATTTTGGGTATCTGAAGAATTAATTAAATGAATAATTTTTATTAAAAGGAAGATTATTATAAATATAATAATGTTGTAATAATTGAAAACAATTGAATGATAATTAAGTAATTGAAGTTGTAAACCTTATTAAGGGTTCCAAATGATTTTTTATAGGTGTAGCNTAATTTTTATTAACACGGAGGAGATGGATTGTTTAAGTTTAGAGTTTGGAGTTAGAGATATTAATATTTGTTTATTTGTATTTGAATATTAGCCTAGGTTTGGTTTGGGAAGTCCGGGGGGTGGGGGGATGGGATATAACATTGTGTAATATCTGTGATGTATTTCTTTTTTTTTTATGATAAAAACAATAAAATTTTAAAAAATAAAAAAATAAAGAGGCAATTACTACTACTACTAGCAGGAGTACTAACATTCAAGAGAATTGACAATACTCTCCAGAATTCACCTGTGTCATATTACAGGAAACTTTCTTTGCTGCCGTGTGGTGCTCATCTGGATGTCTGCAGGCCAGGTATGGTTATTACAGTATTAGGGTATGATAGCCCTAATGAAGTCTGCTATCTACGAGTTTTGAGTTTAAAAAATTAAAACTTCTTTGAATAGCTTCTTGTTTGACGTTCTTTACAGAAATATTTGCACGTATTTGCTTTAGTGTAAATCCTGTTTATTGGGACATGCTTCCAAGTCTATCTTCAACCTTGTGCACATTAATTAAAATAAATCCCATTTAACGGATTATTTAAATTGTGCTAAATTTGTTAGATATATACTGTTAACGGATGCCGGTCACTCAGTTTGTTGCAGCTCTAGATATAACCGCTCTACCTCCTGCTTACGTTCTTCATTCTTTCAACCCATTTCCTGAATGGGCTAACCCGGCCGAACAGTATCCGGTCCCCCGGCAGTGTTTCTCAACCTTGACAATTTTAAGGCATGTGGACTTCAACTCCCAGAATTCCACAGCCAGCATTGCTGGCTGTGGAATTCTGGGAGTTGAAGTCCACATGCCTTAAAATTGTCAAGGTTGAGAAACACTGAAGGATAATGCTGCTTGAGACGCCAAGAGAGCGTTACTTTATAATAAACTACATCTCCCAGCGGTCTTTCTGCTTCGACTTCTCTTCCGCAACCGGTGTCAGCAATACATTATAACAGTAATGGCCAGAGCGGTGGAAGAAGATAAACTAGCGGCACCTTGTGGAGTTGGTGCGTTACATGCACTTGCGCTATTGGTCGGATCATGTCCGTGCGCTTGGTGAGGACTGAAACGCGGCGTGCGGATGGCTGTTTCTTAGATTTCGTCTCCGCTCCCCGCTTTATTTTAATAGATGCCGCTGTTTGATCCAGTTCTCCCCTGCGCTTTCTTTTCGCCGGTGCCATGATTGGACCAGAGACCTCGTCATCTTATCAAGAGGTATTGGGAGAAAAGCGGGGAGGGAGGCGCAGTATTTGCACTCTGCTGGTACGAGGTGCCTGCAGGCGAGGCTTTGTGCGCGACCGGCGCTTAATGTTACAACTTGGCAGCGCCGAGAAACAATTAGCCTGCACCGAAAAGACCATGCCTTTGCGCGTTCACTGGCAAGCAAGCAACAGCAACAACAACCATATAAACTTCGGAAGTGAGTCCCGCCAAGTTCAACGAGACTTACTCCAAAGTAATAGTACACGCCTGTGGATGTCGTATTAGACAAAGGGATACATTAGGGCAAACGTGCATAATAGGTGTGCCCCTTTAGGATATAAGTGTGTGTATCCTCGGCGTTGTCCCATTAATTCAGTGGTTCTCAACCTTTTTAATGCCGCGACCCCAACCGGTCGTAAGTTGAGGACTAAACCGGTCATAAGTCGAGGACTAAACCGGTCGTAAGTCGAGGACTAAACCGGTCGTAAGTCGAGGACTACCCAACCGGTCGTAAGTCGAGGACTTTCCCTGCCTGGGAGTGCTGCGCATGTGTGGTTCCGCCCCCTGCGCCGGCCGAGGCGTAGCTGGCAAGCGGCAGAGACGGAGCAGGCCGACCACCAGCTGGCCCAGCTCAAGGGAGGTAAGGCACCCGCCGGAAAAGGGAAAAAAAATGGCGGACAAAAAAAATGGCGGACAGCCTTGCTTGGCGACCCCCGTGAAATGGTCGATCGACCCCAAATGGGGTCCCGACCCACAGGTTGAGAACCACTGCATTAATTGGTCGTTCGGGCATTGCCGCTGTGGATGCGTCGGAATGCTAAGTTTAAGCGAGTCCAGCTCCAGCAACGTAAGGAGAGAGCAGCTCAGACCCTTGCAGAGCTCCATGCAGGCGGAGAGGATGTCCTTTGAACAAACTGTCTGTGGACTGGACTCCTGTTAATGCAGAATTTTAGTACATAGTAACAAGCCCATTGAAAGCCAGGAGCTTTTTTTTCTTATTAAAGTTTAGTAG